TGGACACACCCTCGAGCTCCCCTTTCTATAAGAAGCCCAAGGTGCCCAACAGAGAGTGTGTGTGCAAGTGTGTACAACAAAGACCCAAACCAAGTTGGCCCTTGTATAATGGATAACCTGTTATTATATGTACATATGTAAATATATTTACAAACTATAAGTTAACCCCACAGAATGTAAAGTTCTAATCAAAAAAATGCTAGTCACTGAATAGCTTAAACAGTGCCTGGAGTCTTTTCAAAAAATATTATCTTCCTTAATAAGTGCAATTACCCATAGATGTACTTAAACATAATATACTGAAATCATACATTTATCTTCAAACGAGTGCAAGCACTTTACTATCTCTGCTATTAACAATGCCATTTTCAAATTCTTCCAATAATAAATGAAATATGATTTTTTTCAATATCCCTCTAACAGCAGATGTCATTTCCTCTGCTTAAGGATCTGGTTTTCTCAGCAATTTAACATCATTTGTAACCTTTACTAGCCAAGATAAAATGCTACCATGTGGTCTGCTTCTGAACTAGAATTATAGCACTTCTCTCCTCAAGAGAATCCAACAGTCTCCTGGCAAGGTCACCCACCTCAAACCTGTATTAGATAAGGGAAAATAGAAAAAGAAAGGGAAAAATATGGACTTTAAAGACTATTACTACATAATTTCTCTTGACCTTCCTTTGATAAAATGTGTCTTGAAAGAGAACACATCAGCTTCGAGTTTAGGAGCAAAGGAGTTTTAGTTTTCTACAACTAAACAGACATATTTTCAGAAAGATTAGCAACATGAGATAATCAACCGTTTTTGAACATTCAAAATGTAAGTTCTAGCCAGGCGCAGGATGGCTCACATCTGTAATCCCAGCACTTTAAGAGGCAGAGGCGAGAGGGTTGCCTGAGCCCAAGGTTTCAAAGAACAGCCTGGGCAACTTGGTGAGACCTTGTCTCTAGAATATAATTTTTAAAAATTAGTCGGGCATGGCGGCACATGCCTATAGTTCTGGCTGTTTGGAAGGCTGAGGTGGAAGAATCGCCTGAGCCCAGTAAGTCAAGGCTACAGAAACCATGATTGTGCCACTGCACTTCAGCCTGGACAACAGAGTGAGAATCCAACTAAAAAAAAAAAAAAATTTCCTTCCTTTTAAAAAAAGGAAGTTCTGCGCAGGATTTTGCCACTCATACCTTGAGGAAAATATCACGGCCAGAAATTCTCAATCTATGTCAAATACATAGAATAAACATATCAGAGTTTAGATTCCTGTTCATTTTGTTTTGAGCATGAAAAATATTAAACACTGACTTTCAGCTTGTACTTTAAATATAGTTCCTAAACTGGGCTCGGTGGCTCAGCCTGTAATCCCAGCACTTTGGGAGGCTGAGGTGAGAGGATTGCCTGAGCCCGCGGGTTCGAGACCCGCCTGGGCAACTTGGCGAGCCCTCATCTCTACAATAAGTCAAAAATTAACCGGGTGTGGTAGCACGCGCCTGTAGTTCCAGCTACTTGGAAGGCTGAGGCGGAAGGATCACCGGAGCCCAGCAGGTCGAGGCTGCGGTGGCTGGGAGCGGCCACTGCACTCCAGTCTGGGTGACACAGTGAAACTCCAACTCAAAAAAAAAAAAAAAAAAACAAAACATAGTTCCTGGTACATGGTAAGCACTCAAATTATAAATGGTATCATCACTGGCTGCATGAATTAGGGGCCACATGGTCCAGTAAACTAGCCAGAGAGCAGACACAGTGGCTCATACCTGTAATCCCAGCACTCTGGGAGGCCAAGGGGGGAGGTTTGCTTGAGCCTGGGAATTCTGAGACATCATCTCTACAAAACCTCAAAAATATAGTCAGGCGTGGTGGGGGATGTCTGTGGACCCAGCTGCCTGGGAAACTGAGGCAGAGGGATTGCCAGAGTCCAAAAGACTGAGTCTGCAGTGAGTTATGATCATGACACTGCATTCCAGCCTGGATGACAAGAATGAGACCCTGACTATAAACAAACTGGCCAGAGTGGGAAGGTGCATGGTCTAGAAAAAAACTTAAATGAGGGATGTGGGCAAGGCCTGCACAACACATGTTAACAGAGGAACCCTAGTCAGCAGAGCAACAAGAAAAAAGAAAATCAAAAGATTTTAGCAGCATACCCGGCACCATATCAGGAAAGGGAACCCTCACCAGAGGATTGTTGTAACCCTGAAGTGTCACCAAAACAAAGAAATCTTCTGATTGCAATTTTGCTTCCACATAGATTTTTCTGGAAGGAGCGTGCTAACTCGTCGACTTGAGGAGTCAGCTCCCCTCCTCAGTTATATTTTCCAGTGTAAATTATTAAATTGACACTTGGCTACACACTTTAATCCACTGCAAGCTGGTCAGTCTAACTTCGCCTGAGCTCTCACTTTGAGCCATGTATTAGTCTGTTTGGACTGCCATAACAAAATAACAGACTGGGGGACTTAAACAACAGAAACTTATTTTCTTACAGTTCCAGAGGTTAGAAGTCCAAGATCAAGGTGTCAGTGGATTTGGCTTCTTCTGAGGTGTTTCTCTGGATTTCAGATGGCTGCCTTCTCACTGTGTCCTCACGTGGCCTTTTCTCTGGGCACACACTGATGTCTAGGTGTCCAAATTTCCTCTTCTTACCAGATTGGATCAAGACCCACCCTCATTTTAACTTAATCACTTCTTTCAAGACCCTATCTCCAAAACAGTCACATGGTAAGGTCCTGGGATTTAGGGCTTCTATATATGCATTTGAGGGGGACAATTTAGTCCACAACAGGGCATACAGATCAAGTTCATTTCTAAACCTATATAGCAGAGGCCAAGACTCTGACCCATAATGACCAACAGGGAACTGTTCCTATTAAGTCCTATCTGATGCACTAGCCACAACTTATGAATTTCATCCATAAAGACAATATAAGGTACATTCATTTTCTCTGAGCTTTCTAGTTTTTTAATATTTTATATTTCTTCATCTTTAGCAACTAAAATAATTTGCATTCTAATTTAGCAAGAGTCTACATAAATCCTAATTAAAGTATTTGTTCATCCTACATCCATTTTCTTGTAAGAGATACTCATTTTAGTTTGACTTTGCTGTCCTGGATTTAGTGGTCCCAGAAACAAATTCTTAAAAATAACAGCCAACTTCCCTGTTTTTCTTTTTAAGTAATTACAGTGAGGTGTACCTGATTCTATAAGTTGAGTTCTGAGTAACAATATGCACATCAGAACAACTTTTACATGAAGGCTGCCATGAAAAGTATTCAGTGTCCAGTCCACCAGTATGAATGGTGAAAAGGGGGCAGAATGAGGATTATCTCTTTAATGTTTGATAATAATTGCTAGCTGATTAATTGGATTAGTAATCAATGGAAACTGGATTGTTTTTTTAATGGGAAAATGGCAGGAAGGGGTGGATTGAACATGAAGAACTGGGAACTGTGACAAGAAAGGCCCAGAAATCGATCCTAAGACAGGCTGATCATAAACACGGTAGCAGCAGAAGCTGCTACGTCATATTTGAGCTTCTAACAATTCCCCTAAGTTAAACCTTAGGACCAGAAATCTAATGGCAAACTGCCAACAAAAAAAAAAATACATATTTTATGGCATCTGAATCATGGACAAGCATATGAGGTCTGACAATTAAGTTCACACACTTGTCACCATTCACTTACATTGGCAGCACTGTACAAACAACTTGGTAAGGTTGACATAACCTTGATATATCAGTGTCTCACAGCTGTGTTTGCATTGATGCGTGGTGGTATTTTGCTGAGTGATGTTCATTATTGTTGTTGCATGTTTTTGTGTGATGTCACAAGAACATCAGAGCTTGAATTAGAGCAACGTACAAATATTAAACTTCTTGCTAATCTTGCCAAGAGTAGAAGGGAAATCAGGGACATGTTAGTCCAAGTTTATGGGGATAAGGGCCATGAAGAAAATGGCAGTCTACAAATGGATTAAATATTTTTCTGAGGGGAGGGAGGATGTCACTGATGAAGAGAGGTCAGGACAGCAAGTAATGAGCAGAACTGACAAAAAAATTGCAAAAATTTGTCAGATTGTGTGCAAAAATCTGTAAGAAATATAGTAGACCAAATAAACACTGATAAACAGGAAAATCTTAACTGAAAATCTTGGCATGAGAAAGGTGTGTGCAAAAATGGTACTGAAGGAGCTCTTACATCACAACAATGCACACAGCACTGTCTGTGAGGGAGTTTTCAGCCAGTAAACAAATAACTGTATGAAAATACCCTCCCTACTCACCTGATCTGGCCCCCAATGACTTTTTCCTTTACTCAAAGATAAAGGAAATATTGAAAGGAAGACATTTTAATAACATTCATGATATCTAGAATAATACAACCACAGCTCTGATGGATTTGTATTTTTAAATTTAGTCTGTAATAAAAACAGCTCTGATTGAAACTCCAGAAAAAGAGTTCCAAACTGCTCTGACAGGTAGACTAGGCACTAGTGTCAGCGCACAGCTTCCCAAGGGAAGTACTTCGAAGGTGATCATAGTGATATTCAGCAATAAGGTATGTAGCACTTTTTCTAGGATGAGTACCGTGAACTTAATTGTCAGACCGCGTATGCTTACCTGCATCTGAAAATTATGGTGGAATAGTATATATGATATATATATACTTTATACATATATATGTGTGTGTGTGTTAAAGTTTTGAAAGTAAATATACTACATTAGTCAGTTATTAGAAAATAAAGATTTTCTGTTTAGAATATCAGAATCTATCCAGTATATTTTTATTAAGATACAATATATATCCATATGTATTTTTTAATTAAGTATAACTTAGCTTAAACATCTAAATATACCCCCAATAGAGATTAAGCTGTGGTTTCAAGAAATAGAAACATTTGTGCAGCACTTCATGATTATTAATGTAAATTGACTCAAATCCTCATAAGTGAATAGGTTATAAAAAGAACTAAACACACAAGTAATTCTAGACACTACAAATGACACTCAAACACATCTTTTTATTACAGACTAAATTTAAAAATACAAATCTTATTAAAAATGCTTATCAAACATTGTATACATAAGTACTGTCAAATACTATTGGGTTATGACATTATGTACATTTGCTAAAGTCAATTAGAAACAGAACAAAGTATCATAACTTTGCTGATACTGAATTTCAGAAGTCAAATGTTTTAAAATTTGGCAACTGTGAAGTAGTGATCCACACAGGAAGATGTTTACAGAGGTAAAATAGTAGGAAAACAAACGGAATCATGCAGCTATTCCTGCCCTAAGTGTTAACAAGTAGATTTCTTCCTCATCCGCTTAAGTCTTATTGTAACAGAAATTAAAGTGCACAAGACCACCAGGAATACTTGATTTGGTTGTACCCTAAATATATACTACAGCCAATTTTGCTGCAATAGTGAGGGTTTCAGTTCTTTGTACTGTTCCTGTGGCTTTGGAAGTAAATTTTGAATGTGGATAAGGGAAAGGAGGCCAACACTTTCTAAATTGCACCAAATGGCCTTAAAGTATAGAAATACCAAAGATAAAAAATATTAATTTGGGAACAGATTTAAGGATATGATCCTTGTCTATTTTGCCCTAGGAATAAAATTAGAATAAGGACATAGTTTTACCTCTGGAAAACGCTTACTAAAAATCTGTTTCAAAAGATCAGACCTGTACAGCAAGCACCACAATACTGTCAGTTACTGTTCACCACTTATATACTGCATCATAAATACCAGGTATAAATACCTGCCCTCCAAAGGGTCACAAGAAATACAGATAGAAACATGTTACCACTTGACACTAATTTTACTAATTAACATTAAGTATAATTTGTAAAAATAGGTCACCACCATACAATCAAAAAAGAGGAAAAGGAAAGTTGCTATTCTACAAAAGTGCTCCTTTTAGCTTTCAAACCCAGTAGCTTAATTTTGGGTAAGACAAGATTGTTAGGTAAGGCCATCAGTTCTAAATAAGCTGATGATGCCATATATACATACTCATATATATATGTTTAAATTTCAGTTCTGATTTAACACGAATGTACTAGTACAAATCATTTATAGGAAACATTTCATCAGTCTTATTTACAAACACATGATAACAAATATGGAAAATTTTAAAAATTGCAGCTAAATGTAGCCATGGTTCACTAAAAACAAATTTGCATAATTCTTTTAAAAAACCAAAGACAAACGTTTAGAAAGAAATTCTTACCATATACAGTATACCATTGGTCATCAGACCTAAGAGGCAAATAAATGCAATGATCATGATTAAATTTTGATTCTCGTTTTTTTTTAGTAAACTATCAGTAAAGGTCTAGTACTACCTATAGATATACATTCTCTCACGAGTCAATGAGAATATTAAGTTACTGAATACATTTTTGACTCTCATGGCACGTCACATTTGGTAACACTAATAAGGTAGATTTAGATAACACTTAAATCATGATTACGAATGTTTAATTGAATATTTTCCTTTCTGTAGCTGTGAAATGTAAAGCTTAGATTTGCTTCCATCAGGCCTCTTAAACCAAACTTCATCATGGTTAATTGTTGTAATTACGGCACTAAAAAGGGGGGAAAAAGAATGAATGAATGAATTACAATATGCCTCCTCAATCATTTTAGATTATTAGCTATAAAACCAAAATAATCTGGACTACAACAGTAGATTCGGACATATAATTGTCATTTACTAGAATGCTACACTATCAGCAGGGCATGCTGTCAAAAGTATCACATTTAGCAACACTTAATAGATGCTCTTTCTTTTCCTAAAAGAGCTGGTAAAAAAAAAAAATTTTTTTTCAAGAGACAAGGTCTTACTCTGTCACTCGGGTTGAAGTGCAGTGGCACAATCTTGGCGCACTGAAGCCTCCACCCTCTGAGTTCAAACAATCCTGCCTCAGCTTCTTGAGTAGTTGGAACTACAGGTGTGTGTTACCATACTCAGCCAATTTTTTTTTCTTTGTAGACACGTTGCCCATGCTAGTCTCAAACTTCTGTGCTCAAATGATCATCCTGCCTCAGCCTCCCAAAGCACTGGGATTACAGGTATGGGCCACTGCACCCAGCCAAAGTTTATTTTCTATTACAACTATTAAATGCACATTGTTCCTATTGTGTCCTCACTCCCTAGAAAGACAAAATAAAGCTAAAAGTACAACTTACACTATATTTTACTCCCCAACTCATATTTGCTTTGACTAAAAGAAACCTTTCAAACACTAAACCCTAAATCTCAGTGTCAAACCATCTATAGTACTCACATAAAAATTCTTTTGACACCACTAATCTTTACATCAATTGTCTAAAAAATAGATTTTGTTTTACCCTTTTATGCTCTTTATGCTCTTTCATCTCTTTTTTTTAACTGCTTTTCTGCTTAGCGGTAGTAAAATGTTTCAAAAACAATAACATAAAAAATCTAGGAGTATTATATATAAGCTAGTAATTAGTTCCGTGAGTTTCTATAAGAAAAGTTATTATACATAATGTTTCTGGAATACTAAAAATGTAAAGATGAAATTATAATTCAACAAAAACCATTTTATTTGGAAATGGTTTATTCTAGACTAAACTAAAATGTTTTATTTACCACTAATACATAAAAAATAATTTTTTTTTTCTTTTTTGATACGAGGTCTCCCTCTATTGCCCAGGTTGGAGTGCAGTGCACAATCATAGCTTACTGTTACCTCTAATTCCCGGGCTCAAGTGAGCCTCAGCCTCCCATGTAGTTGGGACTGCAGGTAGATACCACCAAGCCTGGCAAAAAAATTTTTTTTGGGGGGGAAAAGGGTCTCATTATATTGCCCAGGTTGGTCTTAAACTCCTAGACTCAAGTAATCCTCCCACCTCAGCCTACCAAAGTGCTGAGATTATACACATGAGCCAACTGCACCTGGCTAAAAGATATTTTCTCACTGTAGAAGACTACTCTGAGAATTAAATTCTAAACTACTGAAGAATAAAAACTGATTAACATTAATATTTGCAAAAGGCCACAACCAGATAAAACTTAGGCTATATAATTATATAAACTTTATTTAAGCCTAGAAAGATTATTGAGACTTTTAAAAGGCAATTTTTAGTCTCCAAGTTACACCTTAGTTACTTATACTCTTAAGGTTTTCATTAAATTTCCATTTATTTTCCACTCTTATACAAATTCCTTTTATTCAAAATACTGTAACATGCCTAAAAAACTTAAGAATGATGAGGGCCACCAAATATTCATAACAATCTGGTTTAAAATTTATATTAGGATCATAACAACTTACTATAAACAGAAACAAATCAGATCAGTTACCTGGCAAAATAATTTCAATATTTCTACTCATGTTAAAGCATGTGTTCAAGAGCCTAATGTGAAGTCTGTTATATAAACAGTTAACACTGCTGTACATATGTGTAATCAAGTTCTATGTCAAATGAAAAAAAGGATCCACAGGCATGTGCCTGTGCTATGATGTGCTATGCACGCACTATAGAGGCAGTAAATATGTAATCGACAACAATGCTGTAAACTATAATACTGAGTAACACTGAAATAATACAGGCTTTACCTTGTAGGACATTCATCTTTTTTATCAATACATATCGTTTGCCCACGTATATACCATTCTCCATCATAATACAGTCTTCCCTCTTCAGATCTAGCACTGTGCAGATGTTTCTCCAGTTTCACCGGTGCTAAAGGGATCAGTTCAAAAACTGTTATATTAACAAGACATTGTCAGAAGAACAAAAGGGTCAGAATATTCAGAATTAACACCAATCCATGCATATATAAAAAAATACTAAAAATATTTCTTAAATAACAAACCTAAACTCTAATAAAAATAAGATAATTTGGTTTCTTACATATGCTTATATAATTCACTACGTTTTTAACATAACTACTAAACAAAGCTAAACTATAAACAATAAATCATCAATGAGTGAGTCAAGTGCCAGAAGAGGAAGCAAGCAGGTACATTATCAAATACTAGTGTTAACTTTAAGTAGTATTTAAAATAACAACTGCCATATTTCCACTAAAAATTATACTTTTCATATTCTCTTCTGCAGGCATCTGACACTTCCAAAGAAGCAGGGTTTAGTATATATTCCAAGAGTTCCCCAGGACTCTAATTCCAAAAAGGAAATGTTCTAAGTGGAACTTCCATTCTTAAATCCCAAAAATGGTTTCGCATTAGTCAGATAAACTCATGCAGGGAAAAAATGTTCTTTATGGAAATACAATATCAAAGATACCATGAAGTAGGCACCTTTTCATCATTCAGATGTTACCTCCTGAGAAAATGCTTCCAGAACCACTCTATACTCCTCAGTTAATTGTCATCACAACTGCATAGTTACTTTGTAGTAATTATTATAATCTGAAACTATCTTATTATTTATTTACATATATATGATTTCATCTCCCCCAAGGAGGCTCCAGGAAGCCCATCTCTTTCATCATTATCTCCCCAGAGCCTAAAATATTGCCGGCTATGAAGAAGGCAACAAATATTCATTCATTCAATAAACCCTGTCTGAGCACTTCCTATATACAAGGAGCTATGCTAGGTGTTGGGGAAAAAATCGTGACTAAAAGAGATATGGTTCTAGTCTTTGTGGAGTTTCAATCCAATCAGAAGACAGACAAACAAGTCAATAATAAGTTTAAAAGTACAAAATGAGGTAAGTGCTATGAATAAAACTAATAGGCTACAATGCTAAAGCAAACAGGGAGAACCACTTAAACAGCAGTGAGATTCTCAAAGAAATTCAAGACCCAAAAATGTTAAAAGCCACTGCTGTAGAGATTTAGACAGTTGCCTTGGCAGTTAATTCCCAAGGATAGTACTTTAGTATAATATTGCTGCAATTTCCTGACATGGTATAAAGTTAAAAGGAACTCTTGGGTTAAAGGTAAAACAGAAATTAGTCTCTTATAGATTACATTATCTGTTAGAATGTAACTAGAAATTCCTTTCCTAAGTGTTTAAAACATGGTAATTTTTTTTTCAATCTAGCTTCATTGTCCTTAGAAGAATTAAAAAATCCCATTTACAGTGAAACAAGGTAGAAACAGAGAAATTTATCCTAGACACTAATGTTCACAACTCTGGCAGTGATTTTAGACTTTAAAAAAAAAAAAATCAAGGAAGTGTAATTTGATATGACTTTTACTAAGGCATATGAGAATGCTAGTGGTGAGTAAATTTTTGACAGTGGAATCTTTGACAGATTCCACTGTCAGCATTCTAATCCTCTCCTCAGAAAATGCATACACAAAAGAAATTTTGAATACATTTTCATAGACTCCCTGAAGCCAATCCACAAATTCCAAACACCCCTTCCCCACAGAATTACTGGATCCATAAAAAACACTGAATAAACACTTTTTGAATTACTGATCCATTAATAGTAATATAGCTGTACACTAAAAAAATCATACTGCGGCTGGGTGCAGTGGCTCATGCCTATAATCTCAGCAGTTTGGAAGGCTGAGGTGAGACGTGGGCAACTTGGTGAGACCTCATCTCTACAATAAATCAAAAAATTAGCCAGGCGTGGTAGCACGTGCCTGTAGCTCCAGCTACTTGGAAGGCTGAGGC